AAATGTCAGCTAAACCCACTTAAGTCATCATTGTTTACTGGCTTTTCAGCCCTGATGATGTTGGGAGCCTCCCCGACGAAAGCTTGGCGGTTTTAGTAAAGTATATTTTTTATACCTATATTCTCCTGGTGATCGTATTTTTATTTGTATTATAAACATGCCCGAGTTGTGAGTATTCATATTGTCAAAATAATGATCACCAAAAGAATATCTATCTAAAAATAGAATTTAATCCACCAAGTTACATTTGACATCGTCAGGGTTAAAAGGCAAACGCCGGGGGAAGTCTTATATACAGTTGTTTAATGCCTGTTTCCGGCTCCTGGAGCGTGTCTTCAGCCCCAGCTGATCGAATTGAGTCCCAAGTACACCCCCCACATCAGCACCTATCCATCACCGACAATGGACGGAACAACAAGGCGCTGACAATGGGATGATGGCAGAAAACATCCTGAGTATGCGCGAGGGAGAGAGCGTGAAAACGAACAGCAGATCATTCAGAAGAACTCACGGGAAGGAGGAGGGGAGGAGGAATAGCATGGGCTGTGACTATGAGCCTGCGTTACAACCCCGAGGGATAGATAAACAAGATCAAAGTGGTCTTGGGGTTTGCAGGGATATTGGAAGTGATTTAAATAATTGCCCACCCCCGCTCCCTAAGGGAAGTCGTGTGTGGGATGGTGGGGGAATTATGAGCAGGGGAGGAGAAAAGATCCTGACCCCCAACCTGACCAACCCTGAAACAGCTAACGGAGTAACGTATGACAGAATGCAAATTAGCAATGGAAAGAGGATAGGTGCTGATGTGGGGGTGTACTTGGGACTCAATTTGATCAGCTGGGGCCGATGACACGCTCCAGGAGCCGGAAACAGGCATTAAACAACTGTATATAAGACTTCCCCCGGCGTTTGCCTTTTAACCCTGACGATGTCAAATGTATTTGACGAAAGCTTGGTGGATTAAATTCTATTTTTAGATAGATATTCTCTTGGTGATCATTATTTTGACAATATATGTGTGTGTGTGTGTGTGTGTGTGTGTGTGTGTTAATAGACACTGACACTGCCAAGATTGACTGCTACTGGAAAATAGATTCTGAAAGCCACAAACAGTCATTCACCCAGGGTATAGTCACTGCACAGAACCTGTCACTGAGAAAGTTAGAATGTCAATTCATTGCAATTCACTGCAGAGACAATATTTCCTGAGACATTGAAAATCTGATGGAGGATGCTCATCTAGGAGCTAAGACCATTTTTTCAGCAAACATGAGGAACTTTATGTTTCTTTCTTCAAAGGTGATTGCATGTTTCAATGTTCTTTTGAGCCTGACTTGCTTATCCAGCCCTCATTTTCCCAGAATTTGAGGAGAAAACTATAGGAAATTAGGTAGAATGAACAGGCTGGGCTGTGTCATGTTGGGAAACCTGATGATGCTAACTTCATAATGGATTCATTTCCACCACTACCACCATAAACCACCACTACCGCACAAGAGACACACACAAGGTATAGGCCTTATATTAATCTTGGTAGAAATTTAAAAAATTGCAACCCTCATCTGGCTTCATCTGTCCCATACTTCCCAATGTGATCTATGGTTGGGATTGGAAAGAACTGTTTGCAGTGGGAATTGTATCTCAGTATCTATGAATAATGAGGAAAAAGGCTACAATAATATCATAGTGCCTTTCCATAAGTGTTAACATTGACAGAATTGTTGGGATCCTACATTACTCTAAGACATAGTATGGTCTGTCTGGTTTGGGTTTAATATGTTGGGTGAGTCCAGCATCGTGGTTTGTAAACTATATAATTTAAGGTATAAAATAGGTGCGTACTCAGGCAATTACTGTTTATCTAATAAAAAAGTTGGCACACTGTATAAACCAGGCCTTCTAAATATATCCCATTTAGAGATCTTTTCTTACTTTTCTTTTGAAGAAACTCTCACACTGAGATTTTCTCCATGGAAAATCTTAACCCAACCATGATACAAATATGCCACAGCAGCAACTGTTTTTGTGCTGAGCCCCCATGATATTTCCTTTATATTCTCTACAATTCATAAGTAAGACAATCATAAGTTATCCTATAACAGACAAATTTCTCCTTTGATTCTCTTGTTAAGATTGTTTGAAGGAAATCTTCCAGCACTCCTTATGAACATACATATTTAACAACATGACTAAGATAGCATGCTGCCCTATATTATATCACCAAGGGCCCTCATTTCAACTCTGACTTACAAATTTTCTCTCCATGGTATCCTACATCCATCAACAATGGAGGGAAAGCTCTCTATTTAACCACTGGTAGATACCACTTAACTGAAATGTTAAGGATGTGGAATGGGAACCTACCACATGCCAAAATGGAAAGTTCATTCAAATTCAATAAGTACCATTTCTAGACATTGTGGTCATTATGGAACACTCTTCAAATCTCTTTCACAACAATGTCATTTCTTTCCCACACAGTATTAAGTTTAGTCAGATGGTTAAACTATCCAGTCAGCAGATGATTAAAAATAGTACTGTTCCAGAATCCACAATCAAGTTACTATGAAAAAAAATCCCTCTACTTTACACAACTGAGGCTATTATTACCCTGAATCCTGTCCAAGGATGTTTTAAGAGACAGCCAAAAGATCAACAGTAGATCAAGGAAAGACCACATCTTACTACTACAGTCTCTCTGAAACATGCATTTGTACATATATGTGCTCTTGAGAAGCTTCTTTAAGAGCTATTGCACTATGTATGTCAGTTTTCCCCAATTTCATAACCTTGAAGTATGTCCCAAAATTCTCAAGAAACATGACGGCTGGAAATTTTGAGAGTTACAGTCCCACCAGATCTGGAGAATGATAGATCCAAGGACTCTGTACAGTTCCCCCTCCAAATAAATGAATTGTGTCTACATTATTTAAAAATATTTATATAAATTAAGGTTTCTTTGATGAAGCCCATGGTGGGCCAAATTCTCACATGGACAGTTTCAAACATTGAAATAAAGATCCATCTCAATATAGGATAGCAAATGTTAAATATTATGATTTATGGTTGAATACATTGTACAAATTCAGCCAATTATAGCATATTTAATAATAAACTTTAATTAAATCATGACTCAGCAAGATTAACAAATCCAGATTCTGGGTCTTATACCACTACATTTTTCCTTCTGTATTCTTATTACTTTTGCTAAATTATTTGTTTATACCATTGATATTTCCCTTTTCTTCAACATATCTGAGGAGCAAAACTATATATTACTGTGAAATATATTACTGTGAAACTATAAATCCTTCCATTTTGGACCATTCAGTCAGAAGAGAAGAAGCTTCTTGGATGAGAAGCGAAACCTCTTCAAGGAAAAAAGAAAAAAGTACAATTGCCTTTTGAAAAAGCACCTTTTGAACTACTATGAAACTATATACCATATTTGTAGTTTCATTGTTATATATTCTCTTGAAATTCTAGATTTAATGTTAAAGTTGGTTACGTTTACTGCTCAAACTAAACAGTTTGCAACTGAATCTTTGGCAAGCACGCTTCTTTTCTTGTTAATTCTACCACACAGCCAATTAAACCTTGCTATTTTTCTCTTCTCTGTCTCAGTTTTCTGCTCCTTCCTAACAGATTGCTTTCCTCTCCCTTAAATGTAACCCTGAAAGTGGCTATTGTGATGACAACTGATTTTTGGATTGCCGCTTGTAAACTTAACTAAGGAAACAGCCATTGACAAATCCAGGTTTGTGGTGCCAGACATCTGGTGAGGCAATTTTTATTTACTCAACTGCATTTGTATCCTACTCTTTCATTAATACGTCTCCTGAAAGAGCTTACAAAGACAAACCCTGCCCTCCAACTTAACAAATTATGATGTGACACAAAAGAAATGGTTAGAGAGGAGGGAGATGGAAATAGGATTAGCTAGTTTTTAGACACATTTCAGAGAGTGGAAAGTTGGCAGATTTTTATCAGCTCAGTTGAAGCCCTGAGCATCAGCAATGAGCCAAAATTCTTCTCACCAGCTGGGCAAACAGTGAGCTTCTTCAGTGCTTGTGTAAAGCACACTTAAGCAAACAAGCAGTGACTGTTAAGCATACTCTCGGGTCACCTAACTCCAGACAAAAATATTGGCTCTCTCATCCATTAGCCCGCAAGCAGTCAAAGCCTTCAGTTACACAGTCTGGACGCTTGTAGTTAAGACCTCCATTTTGTTGATGGCTAATGTGGGCCGATCTGCTATTGTCATTGGATAGGGCCTTCCTACTACAGAAAATATCAGTACAAGACAGAGGGGGAGAGTTGAGAAAGATACTGTAACACGGCAAATGTTTTTCCTTTTGCTATTTCATAAGAATTTTGAGAAAAACAAATGATCAAAGATAAAGGTGTAGTTGCCTTGTATTCACAGGATTTCTGACAGGTACGAACCTGCTTATACCAGGCTGGTAAAAACAAGCTTCTTCTCTGGTCACCTATTTCCAGTGACATTATAGCTAAATTTGAAAGTGAAAGGTGAAGTGCAAGACTCATGTCTTCCCATGATCAGGACTATCACTCTACAACTGAGCTCTCCAAGGAACAAAGCTTGATTAATCAAGATAGCTTTCTAAAGATTCAGTGGACTTCAGTACTGAATGTTTCAGACTAAATTTCAGCTTATTTACAAGAAGGAGCTCGTTAATATCCCTCAGGAAAGTTCTTGGAAGATCCCAATCACAGGAAACCGAGAACCACATTTGAAAAGGGTTTAGCCAATAAGGATGTTCAGGATGTTCTTTAAGCTTTCGTTTATATCAGAGCCTCTCTCCCCAGATCTTACCACAGGCCTTCAAAATTAAGCTGTGTGTGTAACCAAATACTATATAAACACTGAGGAGCAAATAGAAATTTGGTTGGGCTTATGTGTTGAAGGCAAACAGAATGTTTCTTTAAAGAAACAGGAAGCCAAACTGTCTTGGGAAACACTTTAGACACAGAAACACTGTTTTTTAAAGAAAAAATAGTATTTATTTGCAATATAAACAAAGTCCCAATATTGGGTTCAGGATATATAGGGTCACTCATTTTTTCCTTCATTAAACACAGAAAGCAAAAGCTGTCCCTCACTAACAAATTCTCGCATATATGAAGAGGATGCATTTTTAAGTCGACCACCATTGGGACAGGAAGCCTTTATAGAAACCAGCTTAAGATACAGATGCACTAAATCCCTGATAAATAAAATTTCTCCTTGAGGTAAGATGCAGTTAGGAGATTCCTCATCTGCTTGCTCATCCATGTGTAGTGCTCCGTTTTCCTGCCTCTAAATGACCCAATAACCCTAACATTGATGCATTAAAAAAAAAAATCATTCCAATATTTTCTTAAAAGCACATACACCCACACACACACACACATCACAGTTCCATGATGTGATAGCATTAAACATTCTTCCATGTGGAGATTTATTTACTTTTGAAAAAAGGATATTTTTAAAAAATGAATATTTAAGGGGGGAAAAGACTCCGTGGCTTTTAAAAGTTTGAGTGTGAAAGTGGAAAGGGAGGTGGGAAAAAGGAGGGACTACACTGCAGCCAATAATTTTCAACGTCCATTCTGCCCTCCTCCCAGAAAAAAAAAATAAGCACCACTTTTCTCTCATCTAGTATAATACATTAATGAGAAATATAGACAAGTCTTCTTGTTATAGAAGGCACAGCAAAGAAGTTCTCCCCAAAAAATTCTCCCCAAAAACCTCCAATGGCCTCCATAGTTAACTAGCCTTCCCTCCCTCTTTCTCACACACACACTTAACATCGTTTTTCCCTAAGTAGTATAATCCCATGGCTTCCCATGGTTCCTATTTAAAGTACCTTCTGGTAGTACCCAAGTTGACTTCCCAAACTGGTTTCCTTCACATGCTGGCACCAATTCCCGGAATTGTCAGAAAGACTTCGACTAAACTAACCTGGATGAGAAATCTGGGCATTGTCATCTCAACCCATCTGGAAAGTGCCAGGTGAGGGAAGCTGCCTTAGGAAGTCTGTGCTCAAGCCTTCTACAACAGCAATATTCTTTGATTCTTTGTTCACTTCCAGGCTGCTCCTTCCATGCTATTTATATATGTACATATATGTATCATATATATACACTTGTACATATATATGCACCCATTTATATGTAAGAATCAAGTGTGCTAGATAAACGCTAACAACATGAATAGCATTTTCATTGCTTTGGAAGCTGGAATGATTTCAGGCCAGCTGGTGATGTTAACAGTCAAAAAGGTTGCGCATTACAACCAAGAGCCTCCAAGCGTGCTTTAAACACCTCTGGGTGGAGGTTATAGAAGATGTTAACTCAGGTAATATTGAATAGAGTGGAGATTGGTACAGAATAGGATGGGGTGATGGGACCCGGGGAGGGTTTGGCAAAGTTTGTTTGTTTTTAATCAGAAAGCACATTGGTGCTTAGTCACCTTGGCAGTCAGTGCAGAAATGTTTGTGAAGGTGAACATGGTGGGGAGGGGCATACTTGCTAGCTGGCTCTCATAAATAATGAAAACTCCAGCTAGATGCTACCCAAGTAGAGCAACAGGTCTTCCTTTGTCTTTTCCCCACCCCACCCCCAGTAACATGCTAGAGAACATATTGAGGCTTTACAGAGTGTGCAAAACGCATTTGGTCAATAGAAACATTTGAATTTTTTCCTTTCTCTCTCTTATATCTAAAAAACATAAAATTGAACAAGAACAAAATAAAATACTGGTTTTGCAACCTGGTCTGTACAAACAGTCAGGAACATACATATTGAAAAAGAGCTTGACCCCAAGAAAGAGTAAAGATTACCTCTTTTTAAAAAAGTAAACTGTGATGTAAAACAACAGTCTCGGGCCAACACTTATTGGTCAAATTGGCTAAGTGCACGAGTCTTCTTTGCTTTCCACACCAAGCCAACCCACACTGATCCAGTAATACACGTGTGTGTGGTACATGTGCATGAATGAAGTGTATTGTATCAGTCTCTTCACACACTAGAAAACAGTTATTGCCAGTAACAGCTACAGTCAGAATGTCAGGCCATCTGCCCCATGAAATAATTCTGGTGAATGAAGTAACACTTCTGAACCATTTGGATTTGCATCCAAATACTAATAAATGGTGCACCCCTTTTCAATTAAGCAGCAACTAGGCAGATCTGCTTGGAGAAACCAGTTCTTTCAAAGCTGACTGGAAAAACTTTTTCCATTAATGAATTTGAAATGCTCAAGAGAAGCTATTCAAGGTTTGAGGTCCCCCCAACAAAATCTCCTTCATGTGGACTCCAATGTGTTCAGCTGAAACAAGTTGTGATTGGTTGGGGTAGTAAAATAAAGCTGGTCCCCAGGTGAGCGGTTGTCACATGGGCTGTTGAGTCCCAAAGTTCTTTCAAAGTCCAGAAGCTGTCCCATAAAGTTAAAATTGGGGGAAATGTTGGACTTTTTTCTTTTCACAAAATCGTAGGCGTCATTCAGAGACAAATTGAGCTTTTGCATTAAATAGGCCACAGTTACTGTTACAGACCTGCTAATACCAGCAAGGCAGTGGACTAGAATCCCACACTTCTTGGAACGGGCTTCATCTGCAACAGGAAAAAACATGTGAGATTTCTGGACAAAAGAAATAGGGGGGGGGGGTGTTTAAAGCAAGAGTAGAACAAGGAAATTTAACTAAGATTAAAGCTTATAATAAATGCATTTTTATTCCGCAGTTTTTTCTTCACAATTCAATGTTTCCTCGAGTTTCACATGCTGCCCAGATGCAAAGGCAATAAGATTGATGTAATCAGGACAGTTAAATATTAGTTCATGCTGTCTTGCCACATAAAGACATAAGCAATTGATATAAGTGGAGACGATAAAGAAACAAGCCAGCCATATCTTCGGAAGAATGACAGAAGTTACAATAATAGTTTTGCATCAAAAGTTCCTGGAACCTTTTAAAGACACAGCTTATTTAATCCTTGTTTCTTTTTCATATTAATCAGCATTTGGATGGATGGCTTACAACTAGCTAAGTTGACACATGTTGCCATATAAAAAAAAATATTACTATAAAGGAAAGAACTTGAGTGAATAGCTTGTATTTTCTAATTAAAGAACTAAAATGTGTTAAAAATCTTTAAAAGAAACACAAACACCATGTTTGGTTATATTCAAGTAGACAGTAGTACTTAAAGAAACTAGACTCCTACTTAAGGGTGAACAGTTTTCACAGGCTAAAAGCACTACCGTAGCAGTAACTGAAGAATGTTAATTACAATGTCTACACATAACAGATATTACATCCTAATCCTAAATATGGTTATCTGATATCTTTCCAATAAAGTAAGGATAAGACTGCATGTTTCTCTATATTTAGCTTCAGGCAATTGTACCTAACATTTACTTCAACCCATGCAACAGGTCTTCCTGTTGTTTTCCTGTGCGTATCTCAGATCTGCTCTGAAGGACCCCAGAACAGATGGAGAGTAATTAACAATATATTCTATTGATGAGATAGCATTGATATAATATATTCTTACAAAATGTTAGGGGTGGATTTTATGCCTGGAAAAAAATACATAATTTAGCTAAAGAACAGAATGTGAGAGTTCATAAACTCTATGACATCAAAGAAAATTTAAGGAATGAACTTGTTGGCTTTTCATTTCATATCATTGTCCAAGCCATTAATCAGTGCCAGATCACTCAGCATTATTGTCTTCTAAATGAAAAGGTTTTTCCAAATATGTGCTAGTGTTCTATTTGAACACATTTTTTTCTATTTTAATCTGTAATCATTTCCTGTCCTAAAAACCAAATTGTGGTTTGCATAGGAGAGGATGTTTTGACTAAGCTAGTATCTAAATACCACATTCCACAAATAGGCCTTTAAGCAAATAAAAAACTTTTGATCAACTGACATAATACAAAAACAAAGATCAGCTTGTATCTCTCTGGAAATCAGTATCTAGGGCTGCACCTTCCATAAAAATATGACTTTAGAATATATGGAATATCAGGAAGAAGACAACTTTGCTTTATTTACATTTAACAATTCACTCAGACATACAGTATGTTGTTGTACAGTAAGAGCCTAGGGCTGGCCAATGGCTACATTATTATTTGTAGTATATGTAATGTGGCAGATAAACCGCAGTACAATTGCAATTTGAAAATGAAATGAACTAAAAATACTGAAGGAGAAAATTCCACTTAAAAAAAAAATCTCGTATTTTAACTCTCTCTTCAATATGTTGGAGCCAATAGCACCTGCAGCAATATTATCTGGTTCACGCATGAATGCCCTCAGGTGACTTTAACATGTTAATGTACCAATATATATACAGAGTCTAACTTTAAAGATCAAATGGTGGATGGGCAGGGATGTGCTTTGTTTGTGTGAGCCAGAGCCAAGTTTTCTTCTGTAATTTTAGAACTGTTCTGAGAATTGTCGAGGTTACTTAATGTGAACACCAGAAATGGCTGGCAAATTTGATAGGACATAAAGGTTCCAATAGCAGCATAGAGAGATTCCAGAACCCAAGAAGAAAGTTACTCTCTTCTCCTAAGCAACTCTGACACAAAACCTAATCAACATATCATGGAACCACGCTGACCATATGAACTCCAAGATTTAACATGAGCAAGAATTCAAGACATTGGGTTGGAACTGATTTTTGCCTGATATATATTACTCAGAAAAAAAGGAATGTGTACAGCTTAGCTGTGCAGAGCTGAACCTTTCAAACAAAAATCAAAAACCTTACTCAATTCCTTCCCTATTCCACATGTAATCATTTCTAATTCACTGAAGTCAGATGAAGAATAATCTTTTGGCTTTAACTGGAATAAAGCCTGCAGCCAAACTCAGTTATATTTAAAGGGTGTAAATGCTGGCACGCTTACCAATACCTACTAACTTACACATGCCAAATCTAATTCTTAGACAAATGAAATCTATAGCAAGCAGATAGTAGTAAGAGCAGAAAACAGCTAGAACACTACCCAAAAGGGCTGTGACATCAAGAACAGGATGCCCAACCTACCAATGAAAGCGATGGCTTCAGGAAAAAACTGGGAGAGATTCTGACTCCAGTGATCTGAGATGGGAATCTGCTTGTACTTGAACTCTCCGTCGTGCTCAAACATGTTGGGAAGATTAGGAGTGACATTCAGAATGTACTTGATGCCGTATTTGCCCAAGACATCCAAGTTGCTGGAATCTTTGGCACAACCCAGATACAAATAGGGAAGAATCTGGACAGGAAAAGCTGGCTGGTTGTTTGGGATTGGGCTCCCATCAGACTCTGTGGCACTGCTGGGTTCCCGGTCAGATTCTCCATCAGAGCAATCAGAGCTTATTCTCAGGCCTCCCAGACCAAGGACAGAGGCAGGAGGAGAGTTGGCTGGAGAAGAACTGTCAAGATTGGTTTCACAATGCTCTGAATATTCGGTCTGAAATTTATTGAATCCACCTGTGGGAAGGGAAGAGAAGATATGCTTTAATGCCATGCTTCTTAAGTCAGTGAGGTCTTAGAAATTTGCTCTTTAAATATAACCTTCCCAAACCATGATTATGGATTAAAGAAATTAATTTTATGCTGTAAAATACCATTTTCTCAAGGAGGCCCAGAAGATTCCATGAATATAAAATCAATCTTAAAACTAAAACAGGATTAACAATGCATGAATATATACATTTAACAGCAACAGAGCTGGAATTACATTAGGCCCCCAAAAAAGAAATACTACTTGCAGAAATGAGATTTGCAAGAAGCTTAAGACAATTTTAAGTTTAAAATCACCCGGACTTATTTCAATTAACTGTGTATAAGGCTGCTACCTGATTTTCTCAAGCTCTGCCATAGTAATCTCAGCTGCCAACTCATCAAAACAGGCCTGGCCTGTTCCTCTATTTTAAACAGCAGCCTAACATGCAGTCCTGTAATCAGAAAGTTTTCACACCATGGAGACAAGTGTTATCTGTCACTGTCTGCAGATCACATTGAGCAGAAGATAATAAAATGTTAAGAATCCTAAAGGTGGTACCAATGTAGCAAGAACTTTAACAGCATAGTCTAATTTTACAGACATTTCCTTAAAGCAGTATTACATTTACTATAACTTGTTCCCAAGTAAAAGTGCTTAGAATTGTATTTTAAGTGTCACTAATTTAACTGAATCATGTTGCCAGAGTCTCCCTTTTGTTTTTTCTCCTGAGCTTAATCTTCCCAAAACTGTGTCACAGCATTTTAATTAAAGATAGAGATGTATCAGACTAATAGCTGGGTTTTATATTTTAAAAGTTGATACATCACACATGTTGCTTCTTCATCCCAACTTGTTAAGGAAGTCTTCGATGCAACCTGCATCACATCAAAGCCCAATTTGAATGATTGCAATCTTAAAAGAATGACAAAAATGCAGAATCCATACATTCAATTTCAGCAAGCTGTCTTCCTGTATCTGCTACCCTTATGTTTAGACCCTGTCTAAGGAAGAGTTTGGAGAACTCAAAAATGGGAATGTTATTTTATAAAACTTGCTTGGCCTTAGGAAAGTTATTGCCTTAACATCAGTTCTGTAGCAAACATAGTCTTCTATAATTTTTAAAAAATTGTGTACATATGTTTGAGTCCAAAATACCAAGAAGCAGCATTTAAATGAAAATATTGGGTTTGGATCTTTCCCTTAACATCTAGTTTTCACACTAGAGATATGGAGAAAAGGAAGCAATTAAAGAAGTATTCAATCATTCAACAGGCATTATTTAAGAAAAACTGGACAGCCAATCTGAGGAAGCACACACACACACACACTCTTCCTTTTTGATTTAAAATAAAAAGTAACAAAATTAAGATTTCATAAAAGTTTAAAATCAAAAGTTTCTCATTTTTTCTTGAGAGGCTCCTGTGTTCTTAGAACTCTGTAAGAGACAGAAATTCAGCAGCTGAAGCTTTTTCAAAATATTCAGTTATAAGATGCTTCACCTGCTAAATTACCCAGTACACATTTACAGAAGTCCAGTTGAAAAAGGGGACAAACCTGAAAATAATAGGTTTCCAGTTTACCTATCAAAGATGTTTAAAAACATGGATTAGAGGGAATTGGTTTAGCTTTAAATGGACAAGCAATAAATTAAAAATAATAGCAGGTATAGAAGTCACTCTGTATCTGAAGGAGAATTTGAGACAGGAATGGAAACTTCATTTGTTAACAAAATTGCAATATGTGAATATTGCCTGCAATCAGCTAAATAGCTAACTGTATGATCACATAGTCAAAAAAGAGCTACATGCATAGAAATGGGTACAAAGAATGTTTATCTACATTTAGTGTTCTACTTATGTACATGGAACCTGAAATTCTCTCCTGAATCTTTAATAGGCATCCAAGCAACACTTTACAAATCATTACCATTATAAAAGACCTAGAGGTATTTAAATGGCCTGGTACAGTTGGAATAAAGTCACCAAACAGAATTCAGTCGTATACATAAACAGGAAGGGGAGAATCAAGTTTCTTTTTCCCCCTCCTGAAAAAGAAAGACAATATGAAACAGCCATTTTGGAATTTTAATTAGAAACATTTCCCATTCAGGCTCTCTCCTAAATCAGAAAAAGAGAGGAAAATAGAAAATTAGTAGCTTAACTCCTCAATTTTCCCTGTTTATAGGCTAGTTTAAAGGAACTGGGATTGTGAAGAGGAAATGTGGTGGCGTTAGCACAGCACCTGGGCTAAATAACTTTAAAAACATACTTTACATGTACCAAGAAAAATACTGAAAAAGGAAAATGGGGGGCAATGCACAGGAAAGCATTTACTGAACTACTTACAAACACATACATACATACATACATACATACATACATACATACATACATACATACATACATACGGAGCGGGAGAGATCTATCCTAAGAACATTCTTTTCCTTATACGCTACTTAGTACTTCCCTTTCCTTGAGCTGTTTGGAAATCTGTAATTTTAATTTTACTTACACAGTACAGAGAAGGGACAATTTTGGCTCAGTGTCCCTTTCTATTTCTGCCTCAATCCTGCCACCAAGTGATCATGCTGGTATGTGTCCTAGGAAAAGGCAATTATCCTTACCTTGGCACTCACTCATTCAGAGTAACTATATCACAACGCTTCCAGGGGAGGAGAGTGTTTTAGGAAAGCTGAATGGGGAGTTTAATGAATTAGGTCTTCATTCAAAATGAACTTCAGAGAATGGGAGGCAGAGACCAATGCAATGCAGCAAGGCCAGATACGTCATCTAGCTTAAGCAAGTTGCTCAAAGGCAAAGGCTGATCTACCAAGTCCGGCCTTCAAAGACACAGAAGAGGAAGCAGGGCACAAGACACAAGAGATTTATCTGCCAAACAAATTTCAATTAAAAAGCAGAACGGCAAACTGAGTAATGCCTCTTCTCTCTGGGTTATTACAAGCCACTTCTCTGGATCAACTGCATACATATGGCAAAAACAGTATAGTGGGGCAAATGGGACCATTGCATAAAGTTAGCCTGGCAGTGAGACAAGGGGTAGGTAGAACAGCTATTCCTTGCTGTCAGCTCCTCCCTCTCCATCTGTGGAGGGAAGAGCTGCTAAAGGGCACCAAGACAGGAGAGGAAAGAAAAAAATGTAGATAACTGGAAAGGCAGGACCCTCCAGAACTTCTAAATAATCACTCCTGAAATCCTTGACCAGTGTACATTCTGACTCATAGGAACTGTAGTCCAGCATGGGGCCACATAGTCTCCTTCTCCCTTTAAAGACCAAGATTGCTAGTTGATAGAGGAAAGGAGCAAGGTAAAGCCTAGATAATCATAGCTGAATGATGGAACGAAGTGGCTTTCCTGGACTTTTCCCATTCATAGTTATGGAAGAATCTCGCCAGAATTTCTCCTTCGGGAGGGAGAGAATGATATCTCCCAGGAGAGTTTAGCAAGGGAGAACATTTTCCCCTTCCTACCGAAGGGGGAGGAGAGAACTGAATCGAGACCAGAGAGGCCTATAGGCCAGTACCTGCCGTGTATCGTATTCAGCACATGCAACCATTTTGCAAAACAATCAACCAGATGAAAGCAAAAGCAAAATCCTGCTTCGCCGAACCCAAAGGAACCAAAGACACGCGCCCTTTCGAAGTCCTTCGCGTGTTTTTTGCTTTAAATGCCGACATTTCTTATCTTTTCTGCGGGAGGAAAACCTCCGGTAAGGGCAGCAAACAACTAAGATTGGGAAACAGGGAATACGTGATAGGATAGAGGGAAACGGAGAGAGAAGAACAAATCGCGAGGGGAGGGGGGGGTGCGATTAGGCGGGAATTTTTGCCCCGGCTGGGGACTCGCAGCCTCCAGCCCGGCTGGTAGAATAAAGAGAGGACGAAGGGAGAAAAGCTCGCCAATCCTGCGTCAGGAGGTCTGAGGGCTTCGAGGACGACCCCTTCTCATTTACCTTTCAGGTAGTACGCCTTGCAACCGTCGTCGCGGAGTTTCTGTAGCAAAAGGCCCAGGACCGAGGTAGGGGCCCCGCCGTCCTGCTGCCACTCAGCCGTGGATTCGTCGTAGAGCAGGACGGTGTCCGCCTTGCAGCGCTTAACGAAGCGTTCCTTGTCCTCGTTGTTGGGGATGATGGAGCGGATGGGCAGATTACCTTTCTTGAGGCGCCGGAGCATCAGGCCCGGGATAGCCAAGTTGATGGCGGTCTCGATATGCGAGGACTCGAAGAGCTCGTGGGGCCGACAGTCGAGCAGCAGCAGCGAGCTGCCCCCGCTCGATTCCAGCTCCTCCTGCAGCCACTCCACGCTCTTCCACGGCATCGCTGCAGCCATGGGAGCCCGGGGGTTGCTGCCCCAGATATGATTTTTCATGAGGATCGCACAAGGGGACGAGGAGCAAAGGAGCGGGGAGGGGAAGAGAGCAGGGACGCGCGCGCCGAAAACCCAGTCACTCTCGGGGGGGGGGGATTCCGCCGCCGTCCCCAAACCCACCAAGAAGGAAAGTGAACAAAAAGGGAGGGGGGAGAAGGCGACCCGAAGCGGCGATCGGCTGGAGGGTCGGCGGCGGGTCGCGCTCCGGCCGTTTCCAAGGAGTCGGCGTTCCGTTGCTTTGCCCGCCGCTAGGCTGCTTCCCTTCCACTTGCCAATGGAGATATAAGCGGGAGGTGCGGGCGAGCGAATCCCTCCGGTTCCTCTGCCTACTCTGGGAGGAAGATCCTGCGGAGCTACGGATTGCCAGGCGCCTCTGGCAGCCGGCCCTCCTCTGGAAAAAAAAGCTGCCGCTCTTTGGTCGGATTTAGGCGGCTGAGCTGCTCCTCCAATATCCGCTACGTGCCCCCTCTCGCTCCATCGTGGATTCAGCCTGACAGTCTCAATTAAAAAGAGGCTTCGCCATCAGAGCGGCGTGTCGTGCTCGAGGAGGCGGGCCCTGCGAGGGAGGGAAAACGCGAGCGAGCCAGCCGGCCCCGCTTAAAGGAGAAGCGGCCTCCGGGAGTGTTGCAACCAAGTTTGCCAACCCCCGAGGTCTCCCTCCTCCGCGTCAGTCGTACGACTTGGCGCTCTTGGAAGCAGCCTTTCCCTTTCCAGAGCCTGTTTGGTTAAATGGAGGGATTTAAATAACGAGCCCGCTGTCCTGCCTCCTTTTGGGGGTGGGGAGGCCGCTGCCCGAGTGAAAATTATCGCTCAAGAAACATGCCCAGCCGCCGACAAAGCTTTTCAATGATAGCGCTTAGAGTTCAGGCAGGACGGTTTTTCGGGAGATGCACAACGGCTGATTAGGATTTATAGTTTAATTGTCGGTGCCAAACCTTTTTGATTTTAATTCCTTTGAAAAGTCTGTAAATTGCCTCGATGGAAAAGGAGACAGAAAGTGAATAAGCAACTTGAGGCTCTCATACTTGATTATTATACTGATCAAAAAGCCCTTCTAGGCCCCTAAGAAAAAAGTTGGCCCATGAAACTACACCTCCCCCATTGCTTATCTCTCCCCCCCCCCGATGGAGACGTTACTGACATTTTTATCGCTGGGGGAGGAGTTACTGTAAGATTCAAAATATCCAGGCCGCGAAATAACACTTCCATTGCTTTCAACTCCCTAATTCAGCCTCGACTTCTCCCCCCTTTCAACTGTACAACTACTAAAATCCGCACCAGCGCTACAGAGCACCATATAGCGGTCGTCCGGAGTTTAGCAGAACAGATCTAACCCTCCCCCACCGACAAATGACTCGTGTTTTTTTTTTCCGACACAGACCCACAAAGTAATTACCTTTTAATTTAGGGTGGCGTAAAGTGCCCAGTCCTGTGATTAGTTAGGGATTTAGTGGATCGCGCGACTTCAGAAAACTGAATCATTTTAATAAACCATGGTTATGCAGCCACTGGGGGACCCGTTCCCGATAAAGGGCATAAGTATTCCACGGACCAACTGCAGTATTTTGTAGCTATAGAAAAACAAACAAGACGAACCATCCAACTGTATGATTGCCACATGCAAAATACGACGCACGTAGCGTATGGGAGCAGAGCTGTGTGACCCATAATAAACGGATTCTAGAGCTGATTGGTGACAGAACGCCTTACAGTACGATATATATACATATATTAATATTTGTTTTCTGAGGTTTTCGCGGGTATTTGTATGTAGGTCTGCTGCTCGAGGCACGAAGCTGAAAGCACCAGCCTGAAGATGACGAATGGGACTTCGTCGAAACGTCGCCAAGACACTTCCAATTTTACGTGGGAGAAAACCCAAACAACCAAAGACCTATATATTAATATATATACATTAATCCTTGGAGTTTGGCATTTTATATGCCACTCAAATAGGCGGGGCTGAAATACGACGACCTCATTGGAGAGGGAGGCGGGGCTTCTAGAATCTTGTGTATCAACCCGCCGAACGCGGGAACAGAGGATAAGTACCGTAGAAAGAAATGAATGGGGTGTTAGAAATGGATGGGACTTGAATGTCTCCAGTTGGCTTGCGCAGAAGTCAGGCGTTTGTGTACTCTTCTTAAACTTACTGTATTGTGATGAAAATAGAAGCGTTCTTTCTCTTTCTTCCTGATGTTCTCGAACGGCTCCATAATAATTTTTAGATGAGCGACATAATGTAAGTAAGCAAAAGTGCGGCAAAAGACTGGAAAAGGCATGGAATTAAAGGCACTTGCAAACTTAGTAGAAAGATTTGAATTAGCTGTCCTGTTTCCGACAGAGAGATGGAGTCGCAGTTTCTTTGTCCCGGGGTAATCTGCTTCTTGCCGTAACTAACTTGTGACTAATTCATTCAGTTTACATTCCATATCTTTGACCGGTTAAAAAGCCAGCCTCGAGGCAGCAAAATTAGACTTGATTTGAGGGGTTTTATTTCCTGCCTGTTCCATTAGTTGCTTGTGCGGAATAGTGGAAAATTTGAAATCTTTTCTATAAACGCTGATTTGTTACATTTTGGTTAATCCTAATAAATATAAATATATTTATTTCCCGATAGCAAACTTATATACGCGTTTTTAACTGCTGTATATTTGGTGATACGCCAAACTTTGAGCCAACAAAATAATGAGAGTTGAGCTACCTCAAAACTTTATATAGTTGTATTTTTTTTTCCTTAGGTATGTGACAAATGGATAAACTGTGATCTGTGGAAGAGTTAACCCATATTTTAGAGGTATATTCTATATGTTGTCAATTAATCCAATAAAGAATATTGATTTTATTTTCTACAAGGAGTTACAATTTGTAAAATCTTAGACCAGGGGTCTTCAAATTTGGCACTTTTAAGACTTGTGGACTTCAACTCCCAGAATTCCTCAGCCATCATGGCTGGTGATGAATTCTGGAAGTTGAAGTCCACAGGTTTTAAAGTTGCTAAGTTTGTAGACCCCTGACTTAGATGGCTTGTACTCCATTTATTGAGAGCCAGTTTGGTGTACATTGTAGTTAAGGTATCAGACTAGAGACCAGGACATTATCAGTTCTAGTCCGTTTTTAGGCACAAAGCTAGATGGTGACCTTGGACCTATCACTTTCTCTCAGCCCTAGGAAGGAAGCAATGGCAAACTTCTTACGAAAAACTTTGCCAAGAAAACTGCAGGACTTGTCTGGGCAGTCTCTGAGAATTGGACAGGATTGAACAGAAAAAATATATTAAGTGTGTTGCATCTTGTTTACATAAAAGGTAAATAAATATATATTATAAATACATCTCCCCTGGAAATAAGCTTCATCATACTCAGACTTGTAAGGCGACATCCTTGGGTTGTCCTACAAACTTGGATTGCTTCCCAAATGATAGTTAAGGGGGAACATAACTGAGATCTTACATTAAGATATAATTTCCATAACCACAAGTATTGAATCAACTAGGAATGGGTGGATTATCATTAAGTCAGATTATGGCTCATTATACTCAGTTATCATACATATACCTATGCAACAGACTTGCCATTTTATTTTGAACCCACAAAAAAGAACCTAAGTCTTTCTTTTTAGCCTTGAACTTCAGCACATGAAAACTAGATTTGCATATTACACTGAGCATGGTTTGTTGAAACATGATTTATTGAAGAAACCATAACTAGCAGAATTGGTTTATACTCCATTGTGTACAAATTACAAAGTCTATGTACATGCCGTTCATTAAATGTACATGCCGTTCATTAAAACCTAGGGCCCAAACAAACTGCATTCTAACTGAGTTCCTCAACACACTAGGCTAAAATATGTTCTGATACACTGGCCTAGTGCAGCGGAAAAACCCTGGATTACCATGTTGTACAAATATAGCCAGTAGCTCTGTGATGGATGACCCCAGTCTAAAAGTTTCTAAAGTAGATTGTTGTTTTAAGACGTCTTGACTTTTGAGACTTGTAGCTTAAGACAGGTTCATACCAACACATTAGGCTGATTATATGAGCAAATTTAGCAGGATTGCACATGGCTTGGTCACATGCAAATCCAGTCCCTGTAGTCAGTTTATCATTCAGTTTGTTGTGTGAACATAGGCAGTTCAGTTAATCTAATTAACTATGGATCAGTTAATCATGGGTTAGAGCATTCTGTAAATACAGCTCTAGAAAGTTGCTGTCTGGGCATTCATTTAAAAATAACATTTACTTGAGAACTGAAGCAGAAACTCATGTACAATGTAAACTATTTTTGTCTTGCTCAGATAACGTTCCAAGTTTGCATGTTCCTCGAAATACATAAATATTGCAAAATGTTCAAATGTGATTTATGCAAATAGTACAGGGAGAACAGTATTTAAATTAAAGTGCTAAGGTAAACATGCACACATATGAGAAATCAGCAACTCAAGAAACTTGGATGGTTTTTTTTTTTTGTAAAACATGATTTCATTCCATTAATTTATACATAGGCTTATAAGCACATGGAAAATGTTTAGAAAGTTGGCCAGAATCACAGGGATACTTGGTTCTTATGGGGAATCTTAGTCACCTCAAAGTCTTTATTTACTAATCTGATTTTACAAATTTATATGTCACTCACTCCAACATGGTGCTAGACACCATATGCAAACAGAAATATTTATAATTCTATAGTTACAAACCTGGATGTAAAACAAATTCTTGTTATCTTGCTGTAATCAGCAGAAGCAATATTTTAAAAAACAAACAAACAAGCAAATCAGTGCAAATATGTTTAAATTTGCTAATAGTGGAATTTGATTTTGTGCAAATGTTAAGTTACCGTTTCGCATTTTTAAAAGAAATATTCATTAGCAAAATGTACATGGACATGCCCATAATTAGCTTGAATGTTTTACATTTCCCTTATGAAAGTGCTTTAAAAGGAGTCCAAGCAGAAAAACAAAAATATAAATCCTTCATTTCCCTAGCAAATTACATGTGGCTTGACTGAGTGGCACATTATCATTCAACCAATGTAGCTCTAAAAAGTTATAAATGTTGGTATCCTTCTGCGTGGACTGCAAATAGAATTAGAATTTACAACTAGTTGACCTTTTATGCCTGATAAGGAAAGGCTTTCTAATTCACTTTACAAATACAAATCAGTCTGTATCTTCCAAAATTATACTGTAATTGCAGAAAGTTTCCACTGACCTACGTCTCAAGAACTTCATTTTCTGTAACTTTTTGGATAAAAGAATATTAATAAATTAGACAGACAGTTTTAAATGATATATTAAAAATAGAGTATGCCTATTGTAAATTGCCATATATAATCAATTACTTTTTCTACCAAGTGAACCAGTTTGATGAAGTGATTAAGGCACCAGACTAGAAACTGGGAGATGGTGAGTTCTATTGAATTCTTCAGAGGGATGGAGTATTATTTTGAGTTACTTATCTGTAGGAGGAGGGGCAAAAGACTCAAGATCAGGACTGTGGTCATGTGGTTATGGCCACCATGTTGACTCTTTTGACCCCCCCCCACAAGTAATTTTCTCTGGTATATGTGTACATTATACCAAGCCATGATTTGCTTAGCAATTGTTTATATCAATTACATTGGTGGAATTTGCACAGCATGCTAAATTATTGCAGAGGGCAGAAGGAATGGCCTTGAAGGACAGGAGGAAGAGCTGCTACCAAGGCAACAGTCAGATTAAAAGGGCCTGAGCCCAGGACAAGTTCATACGAAGATAAAGGGAGGGAGGGAGGGGAAAGCATATTCAGACTTGCAAGATGCTGTTACTCTAGCTGTTATAATAAACTATGGCATTAGTCTGGTCTACCCAGAAGGGCTAACAGTTGTACCCCGTGGTTTACAAATGACAACGACTAGGGTTGCAGAGTAATGTATGCCAAGTCAAAACCAAGCCAATCATGTTATAACTTACAGGCGGTTATGCCAGAGTGTTTCCTGCAGTCGGGGAGCCAGCAAAAAAGTATTGTATGTGAGCATAAAGGTTGCCTTCATCACCAGTCCTTACTCTGCCCTGATACCTATGGTAGATCCTTTAGCCTTATTTTGCCCCTTGTCAAATATCATCTGCCAGGAGAAGGAACAATCAGCAATCACTTCTCCTTACTTTGGGTGTGTAGGTGGGTTCATAGAAAAGCTGGTTTAACCACTTGTCAGTTTTCCCACCTACAGGTCACAGGTGTTATATGTCAGTTACCTGTCAGGCAACAATTGTGAAGAAGATGACCCTGCTCTTCTGAAAGGGCCTCAGTCTTTTGTCTAATTACATTAACATGGCTGATGCGTCACACATCAGGTGCAGACGAAGGCAGCAGAGTGAAAAGCTGGGAGTGCTTGAGAACAAGCAAACTCCATCCACAACTGGTGACGCAAGGGATTAGAAATGATGGCAACTATTGACAATGGCCAATAGCACTTGCAAAGGCATTGCTGGGAAAGGTGTGTCAAAAAAAAAAAATGAACAGCCACATCTTGACTTTTTTGATACACACACTCCTATACTTTTCCGCATGTTGTCCAAAGACAGCCAGAGGTTTGGCTTTTGAGTGAGCATTGTGGCATATTGTAACATTAACATTACCGCTCTCGTTAGGAATGATTTCAGAAGATGGATAAAAAAAGATCCCAAACAGGTTAAAAATGAAGTACCATTATAATGGCAGGAAAATATTTTTAAGGCTTCTGAAAAAGATGCATTTCTCAAACCTAAGTGAGCAAAAAAAAAAAAAACAGCCAGCCATACAAATATATATGTTCAGTAGCTACCAAAACTGAAGGCCTGATGAATATGGCCTAGGGCTTTGCTGGGTCTCTGAAGGGAGGCTATGCTGCAATTTTAAAAATCATTTCTTCCATTTTTTCCCCTAAAGATGCAATTACTCTTCTAAACTGCATTTTAAACCACTTTCCTTTTTCAGCAATTTACCGATTGTGGTATATTCATTTTTCTTTGCAGATGTTTTGGAAGCAGAAACATAGGAATGGCTGAAGTAAATGAATATGAAGAGTTCTTCATTTGAAGTGTTATGCACTAGGGCAGGGGTAGGCAACCTTGGCTCTTTTATGACTCGTGGACTTCAACTCCCAGAATTCCTGAGCTGGCTCAGGAATTCTGGGAGTTGAAGTCCACGAGTCATAAAAGAGCCAAGGTTGCCTACCCCTGCACTAGGGAATGCCCTGACACGTTCACAAATGCACAGGCTCTCATTCTTCACTCAAGCCTTCGTAAAATTGTTTTATATGTATATCATGTGCATAGTCTTTCCTTTCTTCTACTGGACAGAATAGTGAGACAGGCTCCAAGGCGGAATCATTTTGCAAAACTGGACAAATATGTCCTGACTGGATAGGGTCTGACTTTCAAACTAGGTTCGCATTACGGAAAATTCCTCTACTTTCATTAATGTTATTCATTAATGATGTTGCTGATCTACACCTTCCAGCAGCTCCTTTCAGCGTGGCCAGTAGTAAGACAGAGTGATGGCATTTTAATGGTGAAAGTCCCCATTTCTGTGCTAACACAGTACGCATAATCTCTAATGTTCGCCAATGAAGGGAGATCCCTCAGTCCAGTTTACAAATCAAAAGGATGTTTAGAGGGCTGGAACTGCAGAGCTCTTCTCTCTTCAAAGAGTCTGGTGCAAAGACAAAGGAAAAATTATATCTTTCCTTTTCTCTTTGCTAAAAATAGCTTTTGGGAATAGTTTGGGAATAATTTGTTGAAATCGAGGTATGAAGCTTTGGTAGACAATTATTTCACCTTGCCTGAACTACAGCACATGCTATAAGTTACCATGGAAATGCTACCAAAAATGGCCTTACTGTGATGAATCAGTCAAACCAGTGCTAAACTGCAAAGTATTCATAGAGGGCTCTGGGGACTTACATTTTGGTGTCTCCACTTCCTATTCATCTCACCAAAGAAGGATCATCTTGAGACCTTCTTCCAAGGCTTTCCTGAGACAAACTAACAAGTTCTCCAGTTATTAAGCTCTGTTTCTGAAATGTAAATTCAAGCAGCATAAAAAAAATCTCTCTGCCTACTGGAGTTACATCACCAACTATGAGCAGAGACTGAAACTACAGCAATTTGGTGTTCTGGATTGCTTGTTGTACTGCACCTCCATTCCACACTTAGACATGATATCTGGACTTTGAAGATGGAAACTATTCCGGAAGTCCTGGGGGTGATGGCTGTTTCTTCCGCTCACACCTAATTTCCTGCACTCTCCTCATTTGTATCCCTGATACCTACAGATCTGTTGGACGGACTTTCGTCTCCTCAACTAATGTCCTGGCTAAGAATTATGGGGATGTAAGTCCAACACCATTAGAATCCACTGGACTGAGGCATGATGCTCTGGGTCTTTGTTTACAACATTTGTCATAAAACATCTTTAAGTCTCAGTCTCAATTTCTTCATTTTTAAAACAGTAACCATTAAAGGAGGAGGAACAGAAGAGGGATGGAAAAAAAGAGGACTTACTACCATTTTAGGCTGTAAACAGTTTCTTGCGTTGATGCCTCCAGCTCATGATGTGTTTAACAATGTCCTTTAGCTTGCTTCAGTTTAAGCCTGCAATGATATAGATTTAAATGAATTAAGGATGACAGATTGATTGCCAAGTTAAAAGAAATCAAGCTTACTCAGTGAAGTTAAACATGCACTTGGAAGCTCACCTCCCTTCTTGGGATTTTGCAAGCATTTGCTTGGGTTGTATGTTGCCAGTTGGTTCAAAATGGTGTGCACTCCTTAGCAGCAGGAGATCTGTGTTATTCTATGATGGCAAAAAAAAAAAAAATTAGGAATCTCGTAGCATCTTTTCTCACTATTTTTTAAAAGCTGCAGTTCACGAAAGCTCGTGCTTACATTTGTTAGTGGGAAACAGTGCTACCAGGCTTCTGGTCTCTAATATGAAGAATTGCCCAAGCACTGCATCAGTTTTCGCCTACCTGGTGTCCTCGAACTGTTGGGAATGTAGTGGAGTGACAAACCCTGGGGTTCCCCAAGAAAGGCCATGACTCTCCCAGCCAAGACCTTGTGGGGTATGAGAGGCAGGTTGTCATGCCAACTGGTGTTCACAAATTCCCACAAACACAATTCCTCAAAGCATATTGAGTGCGGTCAAGTTGTTATTTGTAGGTGGTCTCCCTAAACTCTTCCTAATGCACTAAAAATAACCCATTTCTATTATTTCCTATTTTATCCACTTATATTAAAGTATTTTTGGATATATAAATTACTTCACTATAGTCTGCCCCCCACTCATCCCAGGAAAATTGGCATATTTACATCCATCGCCTATGTTTGTCAGATTCCTCAGTTTTTGAGCCATGCTGATTGGGAATCTCTTTTAATGTATTGATTTTCTGGCCTGAGAAGCTGCTAGAACAGCATGCATAATGCAATAAGCAAAACAAGAGTTCCTGTTTTCTGAATGTCAGCCCCAAAAGATTTTTTCCTAACTGTCCTGTTCTCATTCAAGAGTCACGGCCTTTACCTGACCTGCACTACAATAGGGAACATCAAGTTGTGCAAGTATGTGTGGATGGTGTACATTTTTACAAATAATTTCAAAAAAACAAGGAGAAGGAGAAGAGACACATTCAGAGCTTTTATACAAGCTTTTCAACTCCTGCATTAATTTGTGCTATTTTTATCTATGCTAATGATGTGCTGGGATAATAAGGGTTTGTAGGAAAGTTTAAAATGCACATGTTCTTGTATGAGCTATTCAGCAGAAAGTGAGCAGTGCAGCCTCCACAGTACCTAATCTTGATTCATTTACTTCGTCCACCCCCGTGAAACTGTTAGCTAGCATTGGCCTAGCAAGTTGCCCCTTGGTGCTCCAGTAACAAAAGATCTGAAGATAAATGTGGACATTCTGTTCACAGAGTCCTCTCTGTATCTTACCAGCTTTTCCCTTTTATGATGCCATTTCTCTCTTTTATTGCTCATGCTATAAGACTTTAGCTAAGATAGCTAACTGGAGAATCCTGGCTGGCTAATGTGCTTAGGAACAATAAATGTGTTTTCAGAAAGAAAAAAAGTATCAATAGTCTGAATGAGTCCCATTTACAGAAGAAAAGGGTAGAGGCAAAACACTTCAGGAAGACTGAGAGGTACTAAATGTTGTTATGAATGAGGAAAAATGAGATCCTTTGCCAGGAGGAAGAAAAATGGAGAGGTGAATTGTAGAAGAGGCGACAGCTGGACAGCTGCTGAACTCTAAGAAGGCATACCGTAATCAAGTTCGCTTACTGTATTATGCTAAGTCATAGTTTGTTCAACCGTGGTTTATTAAATAAGGTGCAATTGGCTGGGTTTGAACAATCCACTATGTCATAATTAAAACTCTCATGTTACAGAGCAATGTGATCACAGGCTAAAATAATGTTGTTGCAAATCCCACATGATACAAAATAATACGTATGACCAGCAGCAAGATTGATGGACTCCGTTACAGTGGTGATGAGTGCACCATTGGGAGACTTGCAAGAACAGGTTAGAGATAGATCATCATAGAGAAAATGTATCTATGTGGTTGTAGGAGTCGAGAATGATTTGATAGCGTATAATCAATCAATCAATTTAAGCAAGTCTTCATTCAGTATTATGACATTTCCTCCCTTGCTTTCTATATACCCACTTCTATTACAATGTGCACAATATACTTTTCTTGGGTCCTGAGAGGAAACCTTCGCATTTTCCAATGCAATAGGAGGCAAGGCCTTGTTCTTTTCCTCTTCATAGGAGGTTTTCAAACTGAGGCTGGATAATCATCTAACCGGGATGTTGTAGTGTGATTTCTTTGGCCACATGACTCACTACTATAGGTCCAGGCATTATTGAAGAGGAGGTGTCTCCCCCTCCCCCCTTGAGGTACATAGCCTGTTACAGCCTTATCTCTCAGAACGCCTCTATAGGGGAGATGGCAGCATAAGAGAGAGGGGGAGTAAACTGGGGATAGAGAGGTGTGGGAAAGGGAATGTTGGGTAAGAGTATACCCTTTGAATATAGGTGGCAACAGCTAGAACCAGCAAGCCATTATATCAATGCAGGAAGCCAGACTTGCTCTCTGAAACAGAAGATGACCATCTATAAAGCAAACGGTCTTATAGTGAATATATATGTAATTTTAAAAATATGTTATGGGAGCACTTATAGAATGGCTGCTGGGGGAGACTTCTACATTCTCAAAATAGCCACCATGTTGGCCTATATAATGAAGGGCATAATAGCCACGCTGGCTAGGAAATATTTGGAGGAGATGCTTGGTTAGGAAAGGCTAGACTATTCTTTTCTAAAAACTAGCCAGAAAACTAGAAACGCCACGTATTTGCAAGATCAAGGCAGCCAAGAAGAAATGAAACAACATTAAGCCTCCTTTCAATAGCCATTCGGTTCTTCCTTAGACCTATCAGTTCCAGGCTCCAAGTGTCATCCACTAAATGGTAACAATGAAATGTCTGCATTTCTTTGCTGTCATCTAGTGTCATCTGGATTTTTCCAACCCTGATCTGGTGGCCCTACCTTTTGTAAAGCAGCCCCAGTTATGCCATTCAACAGTTTATGCACTTCTCTCTTAGTACCCTTACTTAATACCCCTGTGCAGTTTATAAACCAAGATTTCCTACTTCAAAGGGGCTAATAGAAGCACACATATACTTGATCTTAACCAGAAGGCCAAGAAGCAAAGGCTATAAAGGTGATTTGGCTGCAACATCTCTCATTCTAAAACAAAATCAAATGAGCTGCATTATGGATTTATGTTGTATGAGAACTAAGCTAGTAATTTTAGCTACTTCTGAATTGCTGACAATTTACAGTTTATAGTCAAGCCTAGCTCAGAGTACTTCCAATCAGCTGATTTAAGTCTTAAAAAAGCATAGATTGCACAGATGCAAAAGCTTCTTTGTTATTCTGTGCATGCATAAAGTAACCAAAACCTAAATTACAAAAAAAGGGGATATTGAGGGAAAAAAATTATCCCCAGCCATTTTTATATAAAACTTGGGAAACCCCTAGCCTGCAAATTAATAAATGGTGTGCAGGAATAGATTACTTATAGCAAAACAAATGCAC